CTTCGAGTCTCATCTAAGCTCAGCTCTGCATGCAAGTGCGCTGACGCAAGCTGGTGTGGCGAAGACAGACTTCCAATACGAGCACCACACCACTAACTATCCGTACGCTCACTACGCTACCTCTGCACCTGCGCCGACTCCATCCTACTCGGACCCAATACCTCGACACAGCCTCCTAACCCAAAAAAAAGTCGCAATTCAACCCTCCGCCGGTATCGACCTCAAACTCCTCTTCTCCGACCCTACTGCCTACACATTCTACTCATATCCGGCGTCTTGCGCACTCCCCTGTCCCCGCGACTTCTATCCGACCCGCCCAAGCTTCGCCAAGATTGTTGACGTTCGCATCTTCCCGACAGCTAATAGCCGCAAAACGTCAAACCACACAACCCGACTACCTGCATTGCTCCCACTGACTGCAAGTTTCTATGCCGACCGCCCTGGAGATTCTCGTCAATACTTCCACCCTCGATCTTGCATACCGTAACTAGATTAAGCGAATGATCACGAAGCTCGAATAACGAGAGCCCCTCTCTTCGACATATCACCCCGGCGACCAAGTCGCCGGCGTACCCAACCGCCGCAATGGAGCAATCCGCCGAAATGTTGACGGCGGCGCATGAAATATATGCACGGATGGGCGGTTCTACTGGTGATACTGCCACGAGACCTCCCGCATACAAGGCCATTGGTATTTCCTTGGCCGTAGCCTCTGGCGCATTCATCGGAACCTCCTTCGTCATCAAGAAAGTCGGCCTTTTGAAGGCCAACGAGAAATATAATGAAGCCCCCGGTGAAGGCTATGGCTATCTCAAGAACGCCTGGTGGTGGACAGGCATGAGTCTCATGATTGTCGGCGAGATCTGCAACTTTGTCGCTTATGCCTTCACCGACGCCATCCTCGTTACCCCGCTAGGCGCCTTGTCCGTTGTCCTGACTGCCATCCTCTCCGCTATTTTCCTCAAAGAACGATTGAGTATGGTGGGCAAAGTCGCCTGTTTCCTCTGCATTGTTGGCTCTGTCGTCATTGTCATGAATGCCCCCGAGAATTCTGCCGTTGCCAACATTCAACAGATGCAAAGCTATGTCATTCAACCCGGGTTCCTATCCTATGCCGGTGTCATTCTCGTCGGCAGCGCCATCACTGCATGGTACGCAGGTCCGAGATGGGGTAACAAGAACATGCTGGTTTACATCTCCATCTGCAGTTGGGTTGGAGGCTTGAGTGTCGTAGCCACGCAAGGTCTGGGAGCGGCCATCGTCGCCCAGGCAGGTGGAGAGGCTCAGTTCAACAAATGGTTCACCTATGTGCTGCTGGTCTTCGTCATTGGCACTTTGCTAACAGAAATCATCTACCTGAACGTGAGATTACCCCTTTCCACATGATCGGGCATGATTGGAAAACTGTGAGGCTAACATGACCAACAGAAAGCACTGAATCTTTTCAACGCAGCCCTCGTCACGCCAACATACTACGTTTACTTCACCAGCACAACCATTATTACTTCGGCAGTGCTCTTCAGAGGATTTAAGGGCACCCCTACTGCCATCATTACCGTGGTCAATGGCTTTTTGACCATTTGTGCCGGTGTTGTGCTCCTCCAGCTTTCAAAGTCTGCCAAGGACGTGCCGGACACCGCAGTCTTTGCAGGCGATCTGAACCAGATCCACACCATCGCCGAACAAGAACAGCCCGAGACCGAGCCCAAGGCCGATGCTATTCGTGGAGCTGCTGCGATCGTGCGCCGCTTCTCCTCCGCCAGACAGAAGATGGAAGAGGACGAGTTCAAGCGATTACAAGAGGAGAAGATGCGAGAGTCGCTGGAGCCTGTGAGCGAAGACGGTCAGCCAGTCTACGAATGGGACGGAATAAGGAGGCGGAGAACTATGACGGTTGGAAGTCGAAGCACCCGAGGAACGATACGATCACCTTATCCTGCCTCGCAAGCTGGTATCCCCCGTACACCGACGGTCATCCCTCCCGCTTCTCCTCAGGCTCATCCACCTCTCGGTATGTCGCATTTCCCCACCGAAGAAGAGATGGCAGAGCATGATCGCCCTTCATCTCCTGGCATGCTTTCCAGCATTGCGGGTACCATCCGAGAGCGAGCACGAAGTGTTTTGTCGCCGAATCAACCCCAGTTCCAGGATCCAAGGGTTCAGAGCCCCATGCATCCAGTTCCTTTGACAGAAATTGCCGTATCCACGCTCAAATCAGATGACGATCATGCTCCATACTACGGCAAGAGCAGAGAGCATGTGTACGGCCTCCCAGCTGGTGAGCACGGCGACTTGGAGTACGCCGGTGCTGCTGGCGTGTATGACCAGCGTGCTGTGTCGCAAGGTAGTGGCTTTAGCGGCACCAGCTCGCATCTTGCACCTACCCCACCGCCACACTCAGCAAAGAGGCAATTCTCCTTTTCCAATGTCTTCAAAAGACATCATGCCGATTCGCCGCACCACGAGGACGATCATCAGCAGCAGCAGCAACAACACCCGCAGCTTCGACCTACCAGCCGCTACGGCCTAGGCTCGCGGGGTTACTCCAGTCCGCAAGTCAAGAACGCTACTGAAGAGGAGCGACTCGGCCTTGTAAAGGGAGACTCTCGCTCGATGCCTGCCTTGCAACGCTATGATGACGACGATGATGAGGAGGACTCATTTAATGACGACAAGTTGAGGCATGTGGACTCGAGCCCAAGCCCACCACAGGCATCGAGATACGGACGCGGTATCACGACCCCGCCTCGGAGAGGAAGTGATGGGCGTGATACGGACTTTGAGTCTGAAGCACCCACACCACCTCCTCATCGGTCACAGCCTGGTGGTGGCCGCCCTAACGCATTTCTCTGAGCGTATGATTAGCATGATTTTGGATTGATGCAACGCCGAATATGACATGACGTGGAAGGCTTTCTGCTTGGATGCCCTGGGTGTTCTTCACCTCTGTAAAAAATAATGGACGAGTTGGTACATAGGAGCATTATGAGAGGCCGCCTCCTCGTAAGATGGATGGACCGACCATTGGAGGTATTGGAGGTCGATTGTAGATGGGATAGAACAGGCCCAAGAGCCTGCAAGATGAGTAAGGCCATTGTTGGCTTACCAATACTTATATAAAACATAAATACAAATACGTCAAGCAAACACTCGTCCTTCCGACTTGCCGCAGACGTCGGTGTCCGCAGACTCGGCGATATTTTTTCACGTATACTTGCGACCATAATAGTCGAGTTGAGCAGAAACAGACATGACCTCGTCGTATATTCCTCCAGTTGTATAAAATACTAGACTTTGGAGTATATATAGGAAGCATGCCATATAAAACAAAAAACGACTAGAAGAAAAAAGTGTTCATCCCCCGCTGGGGGCTACATCTCTTAGTGCTCGTGCTGGGAAATTTAGGGTGCTCACACTGGGATTCGAACTCGAAACTCGTAGCCGGTCGTCGAGTAGGCTGTGGGTGTAAGTTGACCGTTGACCTTGGATCATTCCACCACCCAGTCAGTTTGACCGGGCCAACCGACCTAGGAAGGCGCCTGCTGTGCTGGTGACTGGAATTGGGTCGGAATGGAATATGAAGGCATGTGGTTGCGGTGTATTGGGCTTAGAGGGAGATGAATATACGAGCGAGGACGGCGTGGTGATTCATTCTTCTGATGGTTAGTGTCACGTATGGAGGGTATGGGCCAGCTACTGCCTCCAAAGACTGTGCTCCGAGAACCTAAGCTAACTAGGTAGGTAGTCTCGCCCAACGTGTCTTCGTCATGGAAATAACTTCTACTTTCGGCTTGAGGCTCTGGGCAGCTGCAGAAAATTTTCTCCCTTTTCACACCTCACTCTAACATCCACTGATGCGTTTCGGATTAGATGAAGGGCTTCCGATGGACAATAGATTCATCGCCAGTGTAGTATTACTTCTTCGAGTCAAAAAGGCTCCCCTTTCTGCATCCAGACAGGTATGTCTGTTGGACTGGTCGATGTAATACTTTATGCAAGGGTGGCGCAAGCCGCAAACATACTTCGGCGTCGACTTGATGCAACTCGAGATATTGAGCTTAGCAAAACGGTCTTTGTACCGAAGTAGCACTTCTCCCATTGAGAAGCTCAAGTTGATTGGGTTTTCCGTAGGGGTACGGGGTCATTGTCAGCCTTGCGAGTTTGTGATACTATCTGAGTCTTGGGAGCAGCACGTAGATAACTCCACATATTTCTCCTATACATATATCAACTGTATAACTTAATTATCCATTATGCACAGTTCTAGTAGGTGGAGGCTATATTTACTTCAAGTAGAAGCTATTTATCTTTCTTTGAGCTTGTTCCAACCAAGAGGGCGAATCTGGGTTGCAGTTACACGCCTGATGGTTACGCAACCTCAAGACAACAGACCTGTGATGACTTCCTGCATGCAACATCACAAGACTCTCTGCTCTGGTTTCTGTATGGAAAAAGAGGGCTAGATTGTGAAAAACCATCACGGGACACAGCTTGACATGGTGGATTTGCAACTATCCCACAGCTCACAGTTGTATTCGCTTTGTTAGAACACGGTACTCGGGATCCATACTAGGCGGTTGACATGAAGGGAAGGATCACTGGTGTCATGTCGACACACTCCTTCCCTCTCAGTATTCTGAAAACTCCGATTCACCGCCTCGCTTGGCCTCAAGCTTGCTTGCCTGCTCTCACTCTTCTACACATTGCCTTGCCTCCTTTGAAGCTCTCGCCAAAGCTTCTTAGCCCTTTCCCACACACAACCCCCTTCTTTCTTTCTCTCTAGGCACCCCAAACCTGGAGATTTCTTCCTCTACGCTCTCGAACAACGTTGGATGAAATTTCCTCTTGCTTCACCCTCCCCTTACCATTCTTCGCAGCAATATTGCTGCCTCCTTTTGGTCAATTCGCCAATCTCCTTCACAAAACTTCACCATTCTGGTCGGTCGGCAAAGATGGTAGCCGACGGTCTTGCGTCTGCCTCGCACAACGGCAAAGCGGCCATGATAAGCATCTTCTTGCTCATTTCAGCCTTCCTCCTTGGTGTTGTTGCTGCCGAGAAGTACGTTCAGCGCATCACCTCTGTCGACTTCAACTGGGACCCCGAGAACCCTCCCATCTGGACCATCCGCCCTGAGAATCGTGAGGAGTTCCTCGCTAGTGGCAACATCACCACCCTCGCCAAGCGCACCGGCGTGACTCCTTGCGAGGATCGTCAGAACCCCGCTGTTCTCTACTACCAGTACTACGAGAAGGACTGCCCAGCTCCTAACAAATTCCATCCCGATAGCTACAAGTATCCTGGTACTTGCATTGGTTGGGATCGGTCGTCTTACCCGGAGGATAAAGCCTGTGGTGCTCTCTGTCAAGTTCGTAAGTTTGATTACCTTGCTGAATCGAGATTCCTGAGCTGGCTAGCTACTAACACTTTCATCACCCAGGCACCTACTTCGAATGGGCTCAGGAGAGTCCCTACCCCATGTCTGAATGTCACCATCCCGTCGCATGCAGCTTGTCTTCGACTGACTCAACTTCCGTTGGATGGTCGGCTAGTCTCTCTGGCAAGATCGGAAAGATGTGGAAGGTTGGTGCTTCTGGAAGCTGGAGCTGGAGCACGAGCACTGCTACTGGACGCTCTTTCAAGGTCACACTGTTGAAGGGTGAGTGCGGTTACTTCACCTTCGTTCCGGTCAAGAAGGTCATGTGGTAAGTCTCCTAATACTCAAACTGGCATCCGCCTTAGCAAAGCCATCAAATAAGCCAGAATGCTAATGATCTGGTTCTCTAGCGGCACGTACTCCTCAGCTGAGACGTACCCGAATGCCATCTACGATTACTACCTATGCCGCACGGAGAATGGACCGACTAACACGCTCAATATCTGCGACTCCCAACCCTGGTCGATCAAGAACAGCGGCGATGCCAGAGACCCCAATGCCATGATTCCCGATGGCACCGTTCTCTTCGTCTACACCGACTGTCGCACGCGCTTACCCCTGCCAAAGGAGTACCAGGACCCCGTTTACAGTAGCCCGGGCGTATCTCTCCACCCCGATACCATCGACAGCATCCAACAGGGTTGGGTCTGGAACACGTGTTACTTCTGGGATATGAAGGTCAAGGGCGAGCGCGCCGTCTTCATCCGCGGCTCGGGTTTCAAGGACGAGAAGATTGGCGACAATGGCGAGATCTTGCGCAAGGTTGTCGAAGCCTGTTCCAGCGAGGCTGGCGGCACATTCAAGAACCACAAGTTTACGTGGTATGACAAAGGCAAACCGGATGATTCGGCTAAGAAGAGCGGTGCTGCGTGGCTCTTTGAGGGCGATGTGCCCGAGAAGATTCGACCTGGCTGTATTGGCGAGGCTCTGATGGAAATGGGCGCTGCCACTCAGGATCAGTGTGTCGGTAACAAGATGAGGGCGCAAGCATTCAATTAGGTCTGGGGCATGCCAAAGTCGTTACGAGACATGATGAAGAAGATGGAACTATGAGTGGGGATAAACATACCTCCATCCATGATTCTAGCATAGCGATAGTCAGCTAACGAACTCGGAATAATACCTCAAGCAAAATGCGAACACCCCAGTTTCCAAGACACATGTCTGTACCTCGTGGCGCAGTTAGCCGCAACTACACCACAATAGATCTTAAGATGCGTTGCGAACAAGAATGCGCTCTTCATGACATGTAATCTGCATGTCCAATGCATAGCAAGTCGTCAGCTTGCCTGCGGATATAATGACCAGAAGTCCGTATAGCCGAGTCCGAAAAGTCAGTTAAGCTCGGAAAGCTTAAACACGGCCCGACATGAACAAAACAAGATCAGGTAACGTGACCAAGATGTTTACTGCCCCCCCTTTAATCGTAAAAGATTTCTCATAACTCTCGCTTCTCACGTGTAATATCAACAGAGCAGACCCCCCCAGCCCAAAGACATGGTTCTGACAGTAAAAAAAGGAGAGACGAGAGATGGTGTGTGCGTAATACATCTCCTCATACTCTTAGAGTTCAACCTAAAGTTTGGGTGATAACACTCAACGTCAAACGTCATTGGTCAATGGCAGCTTCGAAGCTTCACCGTTGTCTTCATTTGGGAGATGGACGCGCCGCTGGTTAAACTCGTCTGATATCCCCAGCAAAAGCTTCAGACAAACTTCGAGGGGTTGAATATCTCACCTCCATTACTCCTAAAGCGAGACCGAGCCTTCGAATGTTGAGAGTGAACCTATTTAAAATGGCCATAGCTCCGCAAGCTACCTGCTCTGGAGGCTTTCTTGTGTGAAATCGTATCATTGTACCGAGCCTTCTCGACACGTAAGAGTAGAGGAAATCCACAGCCATGACATTAGACGCACTCCCAATCATAGTCATCATCGGCGGCGGCGGCATCGGCCTAGCAACAGCCCACCACCTCGGCGTAGGCCACCACATCCTCTTCGCGAGCCGCTCCCCGTCCACCATCTCCGCCGGCGCCGAATCCCTCAAACAAGCAGGCCACAAAGTCACGACGCAGCAAGTCGACGTGACATCCTACGAGTCCGTCGCCTCCCTCGCGAAGACGGCCTCGTCCCTCGGCGGCGCCATCGAGACGGTCGTCCTGACCTCGGCACTTAGTCCAACGATGGGTTCTGCGGAGATGATTCTAGCTGTAGATGTGGTCGGAACAGCAAACGTGATTGAAGTCTTTGGGAAAGAAGCCGAGATGCCGTACGGCTCGTCGGTGGTTTGCGTGGGAAGTATGGGGCAACACATGATTCCGCCTCTCTCACCTGCCCTCGAACGACATCTTGCGATCGCCCCGCGGACATCCCTCCTCGGGAACAAGGAACTTCACGAGCTTATCGGAGGGGTAAGTGCCACTGCGTACTGCATCGCCAAGAAGGCGAATAGTCTGCGCGTTCAAGCGGCTGCTGCATCGGAGGCGTATGCGGGAAAGGGTGTGAGGGTGAATCTTGTTGCGCCAGGTATGACGGAGACGAAGATGCTCGCGGCGGAGATGGAGGGGGAGAGTGGGGCGGGGATTAGGGAGATGATGAAGGCGCATCCGTTCAAGAGGGCTGCGACGGTGGAGGAAGTTGCTGATGCTATTGGGTTTGTCGTGGGGTGTCGGTATGTTAATGGGACTGATATTTTGGTTGATGGGGGGTGGTTGGCGAAGTTGAGGTGGGGGGAGGGGCCGATTGTGGAGGAGATGAAGAAGCATATGGCGTAGGGGGGGGATGATATCCACGAGATGAGTGAGAGACATGACGTTGGATCTTGTGAACAGAGGTAGATGACCATCTGGGGGCTGGATTGTCGATGGTAGTCAATAGTTCGTGGCTCTTCTTCGCTCTCTTATATTTCATTCTGATGACCTCCGGCTAAGACCACTTCATTCACAACACTTTAGCTCGGCCTCCGGCAAGTGAGCGGTGCTTCTTTGACTCATTGAAAAAAAAAAAAAAAAGCCAGGCAGCGAGTGTCCCGAGGAATTTGAAACAGAACGTCAATTTATCCAAGCAATCCAGTATGTAACTCCTAAATTTTCCGTGGTTATAACTACAATCCAGAACCCCTTTTCATGATTTCATATCCTCGTTACAGACGGCTCTTGTTGATCAGGTGAGCATTGACAGGCGTGACGGCCTTGCCAGTGCTCGCAAAGGAGAGAATGTTCTCCATACCAAGCCTCTCAAAACCCATATGGGCATCCAAAGAAGCACCGGCATTGTGCGACAGAACCTCAACGTTCTTCATCTTGATCAGCTCCTTGTTCACATGAGGCTCATTGTAGTGCACATCCAGGCCAACAGCCGAGAGATGCCCGCTCTTGAGCGCGGCAACGAGCGGCTCCTCTTCAATGAGCTTCCCGCGCGCAATGTTGATGAGCTTGGCGCCCTTCTTCATCTTGGCAATCGCAGCGGCGTCCAAGAGCGTCTTGCCCGCAAACGGCGTCGCCGTCAGCACACAATCAGCCGTGGCCAGCAGCTCATCGAGGTTCTTGATGTACGTCGCATTCGAAGACTTCTCGAGGTCGGCGGGCATGCGGACGACGTCGTTGTAGAGGATCTTCATGTCAAAGGACTTGTGAGCCTTTTCGGCGATGCGGCGGCCAATCTTGCCGAAGCCAATGATGCCTAGGCTAAAGCCGTTGGGGTTACGCGAGACGGCGCCGAGGTTCTTGTTGGCGTCGACGAACTGGTCTGGGTCGCCTGAGCGGGCGGCGGTGGAGGACCAGGAGAAGAGGCGGAAGGTGGAGAGGATGAGCCAGATTGCGCCGTCGGCGACGGATTCTGTGCATGCTGCGGCGGCGTTGCAGTAGATGATGCCTGTGTACAACATTGGTCAGCCTATCACTCATGGTTCAATTGAGGCAGCTAAGAAGCCAAGCATGCTCTTCTTTGCGGTCGTGTCGCGGAAACCAACCTCTGCTTGCGAGAGTCTCTGTGTCAACCCAATCAAATCCGGCTCCGGCGCTGGCGTACACCTTGCATGATGATGGCAGAAGAGAGATTAATTCCTTGTCCCAGTTGCCCATCTCGCCTCCCGTGTTCCAGAACGGGCGGTAGATGGCGAAGAAGTCGCCAAACTTCTTGTCCTTTAGTGCTTGGATGAACTCAGCGCGCGGCATGCTGTATGACCGGCGGATGTCAAACTTGGAGGTGAACTCCTTGTTGAGGTCATGGTTCCACTTGATGTCGTCGCCGAGCTGGAGAACAATTGGCTTGCCCATCTTGACTGTGTTGTTTGCTGGTGATTTGATGTGAGCCGGGTATTGTCGCGAGTGAAAGGGGGTGTCGTGAGTTGAGGAGACGAGAGTTGGAGGGAACAGTCGCGCGGGATAGCCAGTCAATTGAATGAACTGTTCTTCCTAGAGCTCGGTGAGCTCTCCGCAGTGATATATAAATCAGACGAGTCGTGCGCTCGGAATGTCTTGCTTTACATCATAATCAGCAGCCCCCGATTGGGTTTGAACGTGTTTTTGTTGGGTTTTGGCCGGCGATATTTGCCCCATTTGGAGAGCTTTGGGGTAGCTCTCCCGACTCCCAGCAGTAACCCTGGCGCTAAGTGGAACGGGTCTGCGAGGCTCTGGAGCTAATGGCCTCCCCCGCCCCCGCAAATAGCCCGCAACGGCTCCATAACCCGCGGGGAATTTGAAGCTGTGACGTCCCCAGTTGCTCCATTTGCCGGTTGGTCCAAGGACGGTCAACAGCCCCGAACGACGCCAAGCCCGAGCACCACCGCGACTTCGGACTCGGTACGGATGCTCCCCATCGTGTGCGGCTTGCCTAGATTCACCGCCCACGTTGACTTTCCGAACCTCCGTTTGGCTGGGTTGAAAGGTCGTGAGAATGAAGCCTTAGGTTCGCAGGCAATTGAACTCTATGTAGCTAGTGAGTTGTCTGATCAACGCAGAAATATGGTCTCGATGAGACTGGTTGAGACTTAGAGACTGGACGTCGGACGGAGAGCAGAGCGAGAGATGCCAAATGCCATCTACTGGAAAATTCGAGAGAAATCTAGCCGCGTGAGAACATCCTATCAGCTATTAGCCTCGTGCTTAACTGTAAGCTCATGTGAATACCAATCTTGCCTTGTTCTTTGGTCTGGTTCCTGGCCCTTTTGTACAGTTCGAAGCATGTGTTAAGTTATCCTGGACCGCCATTGCGCTGCCACAATGCTTGTAAGACGGTGGATGAAGTGCTGCCTCCAAATATGGCCAGTCGGAGATCTCGCAAGTCTGCTCATCGGGGTTTAACGCGCTGGCGTCGAATTTGGCGTGGGAAGAGTTCACCAGGACGGATTAAACGCCAGAAACAGCAACATTGAGATGCATCACCTTCAAATCCTTTGCAGAATGGTGATTTTGGAAGCGCTCTCTATCAGCCGAACAAGAAAGATTGATCCTGTTGGATTACGGGCAGTCGGCAGAAAAGGAGGAATCGTAGGCTTCGCTCAATACCTCCTCCTTCAACCTCACGTAGCAATACAATCGATTACTGACCTTCGTCTCAGTCGTACGGTTGCCCCTGCTGATGTGTATACCAACAGATCTAGAGAAAAAAAGACGATGTGCCCCCCCAGTACCTTCTGCAGGACGGGAATTATTTCAGGTCGCTTGGCATCCGGCTTGTCGACGGCCCGATCCTGAGCTGACTTGAGAACACGCCGGCCCTGTGGACTGCATTAATACTGAAGGTGTGGACACGGAACGGTCCGGTCGCATCGGACAGGTACTTGCCAAGAAGACGAGATGCAGGAACCATGGAGATAGCCTCACCTATCACTCCTTGATAGGTTGATATAGATACGTAAAAGAATATGAGAAAAAGTGCCAAAGGAATTAAAAACATAAAGGAAGGGAATAGGGAGGGGAGTACTGACGTTATAACTCACGCACCTGCTCGGAATCGAATAGCGCGTCCCTCAATCAACCCAGAATCTGACTTCATTGGAGTACTTGTTTATTCAACCATTCGACTACCTCGCACCCAGCTTGCACTGACCCGCCGACCTAGACGGACGCTTCTGTGCTGGTGACATGAACGGAGATTAGACCCCTTAAGTACCTCAAGATAAGTAGACAGGTACGTCACGTGGACAACCGCCTTAGCGGAAGGAGGGACGCAGCCACGAAAAGGTGCTGGTGACGCTGCGTATACTCCCGGATTGTGCAGCAAGAGAACAGGCAGGTACATTCACTCGGTATCATCGCACCTATCTGAGCCTTGTAGCATACAGCGTCTGTACTTGCGAGGAAATAAATGATAATATACCTACACCAGCGCCGTAAACATATGAAAGGTCCCCGCGGCGCGCCACCCGATACTGGTGAGTCAGCGACGATCACTCAGGTTGAGACTAGGTCGATGAAAAAATCTTCTCTTTCGATTAAAGGCCATTTACTTGTCAAAGCAGAGTTCCAGTTGAGAATTTCGATAGACTGAATGCGACAGATGAAAGCAGTAGAGCGAAGATTCATGCGTCGACTGTTCATTTGTAGCAGACTGCAGATCTGTCATACTTTGACTCCAGTTAAGGTATGTGAGACAAGTTCTCAAGGAGGCTATATAGGCTTTCTAATGCAACTACCACCGTCAATCTGAGCTGCAGATGTACTTTGAAATGCACGACCTCATCATAGGCCAGGAGACAGGCTAAACATGAAGAAAAACCATGAGGTCTTATTTGCATCCTTCCTTTAGTCAAACTCGTTTCCAACTTAAGCTCTACTTTGATTCACCAAAATACCTAGATATTTAAGCATATCACAGCAACATAAGGTGTGAATGTTTCCACCCGTAAGAGCCAAGACACAATAGCTTCGTCGTTCATTCAAGGATAAGTACGCAGTACGATTCAAATGGCCCTAGTCGTGCAGAAAAACACCATAAGTTAGATTCTCGAATTCGAACTCATGGGAACGATAGATTAATTCTCCAAGCTTACCCGGAGAAGAAAAGAGCATCTCCAAGCTTGCCAGCCGACCAAGCCCGAGGCAAACCTCACTCCCCTTCATCGGTTCGGAGTCCACGGCTAGAGTTCGACGCATCAACACATCAGTAATTAGGGTGTGGAAATGGCGCAGTGGCGGGTGCTTGAATAATCAGATTTAAGTTGAACTGGATGCTGAGAAAGCCATGCATCATGCCCCTCATCTGCTCGTTCATCCATTATACAAGAATTACACATCACGGCGGTTTCCTGTCTGGGAAAGTCTTTGAACCTACGTGTAAGCGATGGGTCTCGCCGGCTCCGGCGCTCCGGCAATGCCTTCGGGTCCACCTGCGGCATCCGCTCGTAGGCCGAGCTCCGGCGCTTAGGTCTCAAACTCTGAGAAAGAAACTATTTCGGGTAGTTGAGGTCGCTCCTTGGGATAATAATTACACATGACGCTGTCTTCTCAACCTTCCTAGGTCTGACTAGAAAGAAACAGCACTCCCTTGTTCAACCATCACTAGAAACTTGAAAGGGGTTCCATCCAGGAAGTGTATGGGGGCTGAGCAACTCTCAAACACCTGCGCAATCCGGTGTCTTCGTTGCGCAGGCCATATCTGTCGCAGAATACCCCTATCTTCGCAGAAGGGGCTTTCTTGATGCCTTCGCCTGGAAAATTGACTCGTATTTTTCTGTTCTCTTGGATGGTCAGGACAAGGTGAGCCTGAACAAAGCATTCTTCGCTGCCCACCTAGGCTTAAGAGATGTCGTTCAGTGACGATGCGGATTATCTTTGCGCGACCCATTACGCCTGTTAAATGGAGACAGTGTTAAATCCCGAACCCACCGGGCCACAGCCTACAAGCCCCAGTTTCAAATGACATCAAGCCCTCTGCCAACAGGATAGCAGATCGTGGCAGTATCAGTCATCAATACTCGACCTTGGCGAACCAGTGGGATGGCCGTCAAAACGATGTCGGCCGAGCCGGCA